AGAGCGGACTCTCCCCACTGTCGGCCGTACCAGGGCATTCAGGGGGCCCATGGTACCAATGAGCAACAAATGGTACATACGTCATTTGTTCCCTCAGGATACTGGAGCTCATGTACACCATTGGTTTAGAATCAAGGTTTTCCACCAAACCGGTTAAAGCTCCGGACATTCGTTTTTCGTCCTTTAAATTTTGTAAACAACACCGCCGCCACGAGAAGGCACTGAATAGGACTTCCATGGCAGTGGCTGTATACGCGCGGTTCATTACTCAGTTTTTCTTCATTATTCATGCTACTTACTTACTGGTGCCTGTTAATCCAAATGGAGCATAGGCTGCCGACCAGCATACTCCAACCTACTCTATCCTCAGCCTTCCTTTCTAGTTTTATCCAATTTTTGTTTATTTTTCTCATGTCTGTCTCCATTTCTCGACGTAATGTGTTCTTCGGTCTCCCTTTTACCGTTGGTCTTGAGGATTCCATGTGAGAGCTTGCCTGGAGCACCTCTTGGACTACTACCGGTTCCAATCCCGGATAAAGGAGGAGGGTTAGGCATGGGGTTGGTGACCCCAACCCGTAGAAAACTAACTCGCTAAAAAACGATAACCAGAAAAAATGTTTTGTATGCACACTGATATTCATTTTTTTAAATGTATAGAATGTAGTACACACATATGATATTACTTTTGATTCAGTATTTTGGAAAGATATCACTCTAGATAAATTTCACCTACTATTACGTCAACAGTTAAAACTGTTAGATGTTATCTCCTAATTTAATGCGTATGGATTACTGACGTTGTTGTGTTTTTATGTATTAGTCGTCTGATCTAACTAGTTCATATGATGTAATAGAAGAATTTCACAATTGTTCCTACGTTGGAACAATCAAGTAATTAAAAAAAAACTACAACACCTACAACGATTTGTTGGACTGACACATTTATTTTAACACACAGATATTGATACAAGGAGGCACCAAATACATATGTACCACACAAATCTCATTTGATATGTGTGAGGGCTGTGATACTGCCCGGGTGCCCAAACCGAAGCAGGGTTGACACATTTTCCTTCTTAGATATATAGATTTCTTTATTAATAAAAGAGGGTAATCACTTGTTAGAGTCTATCTGTTAAACATAATTTTCTAGTTTGTAGTAGAACATTTTCACTAGTCCATATTTATTAGCTTATCGGATAAAAGCTATGAAGGTTTAGACATTATCTACTCTAAGTTCCTTCTCTATAGATACATCATTAATTTCTTGGGGCATATCTAGTTCAAGAAAATGGAGTGGATTATTTATCTAATATTCAATTGTTTCGAACAATTTCTTAGTACGATTTACATCTTTGAGCGAAACGAACGCATCACCAACATACTTTGCATAGAGTTTAGTCTCTATGATATCAATAAATGGTTATATCCTGATGCGAATAATGAATGGTAACTATTGGGATCCATTTATGGACCAATACGTGTATTGTTTGTCGTGTAATTATTACGTAACTAAACTATTCATATTCGTGTTCCTCTTATTATGAGCTTTATTTCGACCTACAAACTATTATTATACGATTTACTATTCTTGAATTATGTCCAGTCAATTAATTACAGTCTTCCACATTCACAGTCACTTTGTGTAGATCGTGTACAAATGTTGTTTCCTATTTTATGATACGTTGTCTGTTTAGTTTGTATATAAACCTAGTATGTCTGAAATACATGATTCATATCACAGAGGCTGAGATTGGTGTTCTGGACATATCAGGCATGACTAGGCGGGAAGCAGGATCGCTAAGGACTCTAGACTGCTCGTATATGTTTTATGCGTCATTGGTTCGGTCGATAATTCACTGTTCTCTAATTGGCGGTATCATTACGTTATACATTGGTAGGGGCACAAACCTAGAAGTTATAACAGCAATAATTTGTTTTTCTCCAGATTTGTGATAAATTTACCTGCAAGAATTGTTCTCAAAAATGGTTACTCATAATTATATCATCTGTTTTCCAGAAAAGTTTATTGTTGAACGAATCATTAGACGAATGTTCTATTCTATTTGAGTACTCAGCAGCAATGTATAGATACAATAGGATTCATCATGTTGAGGTAGATAGTGAAGTCAAAATTCAATCTAACCAGTCAAATTTTGATGATTTCAAACAGTTATTATTATCACAAAGGTTATTGCTGGAGATAACTCCTATAATTACTGACTCCTTTGTTTGCGTTGTGTAAAAGAATAATATCTAAGTCTAAGAGCAATAAAGCAGACAAACGTATTGGGCTATTAAGAAAGACAAGAGTGTAAAATATGAAGAACTTTATAGCGATAACATACAACCAGCAAACCGAATTTAAAATCCCCTGGAAAGAGTTAACAACTGAAGAAGAGACATGCAATATTCTAAAAATATGTTGTTGCACATAAACTGTGTAAGCAAAATAATTGAAATTTCAAAGATAAATTCAGTAATGTCCAACTGAGCAACTACACAGTCATCATAGTGTGAACTTGAAGGCTATGATTATGGTATTTCCAAACTAAACAAATAAACCATTAAGCAGTCGTTTCGAGAAATGATAGCTTTTGATCTCGATCTCATGGATTACTGATGAGCGGTTCTAAATTAGGAAGAAATGGCTATTCTGGAGTTTTATATTGTTAAAACATTTTCTGGATCAAATTAGTTCATGATTAATAATATCCTCAGACTAAACTATATTCTATGCAAATAAACCAATTATAGACATGACCGTTGCGGTTACCTTGACACGGAGGTCGAGCTTGCCTATTGTGATGGTCCAATCGAGCTATACTGGCTGGAACAATGGTTCCTCATGGTCTTACCATGCCAGACAGGTCGGCTGACGAGCGGTAAGACTAAAAGCAGCAAACCCAAGGCCAGAACACCAAGTCGTACTGCTAACTGTACAGAGGTGTGACAGTAGTAAGGTGTTTCGTTCAGGAAACCAGCATAGCAGCGATGCTGCCTTGCCACAAGGAGTGGTGTTAGAAAACGTTGACCATTAAAATGCACATCTCGTCTTGTCCCACGGATTTCTGTCTCCAGGGGTAAGGTTCCAGTGAGTACGGAGCTAACACGAAAATTACAAAAAGGTCGTGTGTAACCGACCTCAAGCAGTTGTCCCTTGGGCACTGTGGTCACGCTCTCAGGTCACTAAGACCATATCTAATCCAATTTTCTTTTCAGGTACCTCTAGAAGGACCCTCCCACGGTGTGGGCAACCGGGATGTGATAGCTGCCCTCATTTCTCTAACAGCACTCAGGATCAATGTAGACTGAATTAACTTTAGATGTCAAAATCCAAATTTAAAATTGGAAGCAAAATAAGTTTAACATTCCCAGATGATGAAATTACTTGTATATACTAATTACTTGAATTAATGTGTAGGTCTAATATAATTGAGTGACTATTAAATGGAGTGAACATCAGGTAATATAAAGTGATAGACAATTACCATATTAAATATTCAAGGTGAGATTACGTAATGGGCGAAATAATCTATGCAGAAGGTATCGCTTCATTAGGTCTGACTATAAAGTGAAATCACCCAGAGTGCAAAATGAGAAATCCCCTAGTATTTGAATTGATTCGTCTAAGATAGTGTTATGAAGTCATCTTATGTACATTGGGTGAACCACCTCAAAATCTTAAGTGTAGTAGTTCACTAAACTCTGCAGAAGATCCGAGTTCGTTCACGAATAATGGTTTAAAACTCCCGCATTATTCCAGTGTGGATTTTATTGATAGTGTGGTTAGCGTGGATCTGCCATTGTGCATATCCTTCTTAATCAATTGTGTTCTAAGACCCATAGCTGCTTCCGAGTGCCAGTGAACGTGGTCTTAAAATCGTAACTTATTTTGACTTTTGGGATATTGTAAGAGGGAAGTGTTTTGGAATCTCATACTCTTACTTCCGCATTTAGTGTATGCCGAAACATACTTAATTGTAATGATTAAGTCCCAGATCAGTTTAAAGGCTTTATACATCTCGACATAAAATTTGAATGTTAGCAGACCTAGCACAGTAACCTGTAGCCTTCAGTTACTCATCGATCTTCAAGAAGCTTTGGGATAGGTCCATCACATTGTGCCGACAAGCTTTTTTTCCTCAACCAGATTCAGTGAAAGTACGTTGCGATACTATATCAAAGTAAATAACGCTTTTTCCTGTTTAGTATTCTAATCCATTGTCTGGTATCGTAGAGGAAGCATCATGTTCAGTTGATGGGAAAGATTACCCCAATAACAGAGATTAAACACATCTTTCTACATGGAGTTTTGGATACATATTCACTTACCAAACTGTGACATCTCATCTGTAACTCGGATGTGCTAATGCCGCTAAGCTATGCATATATGAATATTCTTTAACTAAAGTCCCGACAATGTTACCATCCATACTTCCCAGCCTTTTCGTTCTACGTTATGATTGACATTTTCATCCTTCTTATATCATGGAGTTTTGGGAAGATTAACTGACTTTTCGTTGATAGGAAAGTAATCAGTAAATATTTATGGTGCTTATCACACAGGAAATGACTTTTTGGTGACATGTTAACATGAAATCTAGTGGTTCAGATCTTTAGGGGAAATTTAGTGCTATAACTCGTATGTACTGAAGTGTCCGGCGTCAGGATTATTCACATCACTCCATCGTAGATTATTTAGCGAATTAACCACAGTTCTGGGGCTGATTTAGCCCTCTCTTACAATCATCTAAATAAGAATAACAATAGTAGAGCAGATGAGCTTACAAGTCAAGAATGAGAGATCCCCTGCTGTATAGGTTTCCCAATTGATAAGCCAACTTTCGGGATATAATATAGAATTGGTCCGGGTTTCCGACCAACTTATTTAGGACTAGATACTCTAGAAAAGGACCCACATGTACCCGGTAGTCCAGGAAAAAAAACAAGAATATACAACATGCCGTCTCCTTATTTCAAATGTTGAAAAGTCGAGCTCGTGAATATAACTGTACTATTATAAATTACAATACAGTAACACTCAATAATGAACAATAATATATATGTTTATCAGAATCTTACATCACACAATAAACGAAAGTCAAAGTATGAATGATGTACATTCAATTTATGAATGATACAAAAATAACAATAAAACCAATGTATACAAAGTTTAGGTAAGAATTGGAAGGGGATTAGAACATTATAAATGCAATAAACCTGTACAACTGAGTTATCAAAAGCTTAATGTTCTGATCTTCACTCTTCCTCACCCTCATCAGGTTCGCCGTCATCTTCATCTTCTAACTCCGCACCGTTTTCATCACCTCCAGCACTGGTAACTGTAGCACAATCTGGATTCTGAGCTTCAGAAGTCCTGATAGATGCAGAGTTTGACACAGCACCTGCAAGTTTCTTCTCTCTAGGAACATAAGTCCCCGCCCGATATTTTATCATGTCCTGAAACGAAAATTTTTTACAGATACAGTACGGGCATAAACTCAGAGGAATTAGAAAAATACTTATGAACCAAAGTGAATAATCTACCTCTTCATAACGCTGTTTATCTTTTTGAGCTAATAGTTCATACTTTGCTTTATCTTGACATGTTTCCCATTGACGTCCAAGTTCTTTAGCAATATCTGCAACTTTCCAATCCGGATTGCTTTCTCTGACTTTTGAACGGAATTCATCACAGAAGAAAAAGAAAGCAGACCAGGCTCGTGCAGGTACTGTGGGGTCTTTAGGACCCTTGCGTTTCTTCCCTTTTTTCATGCCATCTGGTGGCACGTAATCACACATTTCACGATTGAATCGTTCTCTATCCAAGACAGCTAGATCTTCAAATCGTTTCTTCTCTTTTGGCGTCATTAACTGTAAGATTAAAGTTGAAGATTTAGAAGAAAAAAAAGAAAATACTAACCTTCCATCGTTCTGCGCACTTTTTTGAAAAATCACTAAATACAATTTGTTCACCAGGATGCTTCTTTTTGTGCTCTTCTCGAATAACTTGCACAAAACAGGCATAAGCAGACATAGGACCCTTAGGTTTATTCTTATCTTTAGTCTTATTCATGATTATTTAATAGTCCCAATGTATCTGGAAAAAAATTTCAATCCGAAATCAGAAGCTCCATCGCATAAAAGCAAATATAAGCGCATAAGATACCATTGATAGTAAACTACGCTTACCAGTCAAAACAATAACAAAGGGAGCTTAGATTAGCTATGATGGCAATACGAACCTATATAGACTAGATAGGGAAGGCCTTATGCATACGAATAAGCCTAACTAGTTCATTGCAATCAATCTAACATAGGCAGGTCAAAAAATTTAACTAGCCAATCATCTTCGAGTTTTTGAGATGATGAAATTGCGTTACAACTTGAACAAAGTTATAGATTTTGACTGTTAATAAATCAATTTTGGACATCTAGTATATTCAAAAAGGCATATTTATTGTATCAAACAATAAATATTTGTTTGAATTTATTGACAAATTTGCGGAAATTTGTTTTATATTTCGTAGCGCCAAACTGGTTAGTAGTATAGTGCGTTGGACTGTGTTCTGGTTTCGCTTGATTGCATCTGTTAATAAGTGTAAACGCATGGTGTGCACTTGCTGGGTCGTCCATTCGACTTCCTTCCGACTAGACGCGATCCGCTACATCTGAGATCTTAGTTTGTTCGGCACGAATTTATCGGCTCCAATGTCCGAAAATCACTCGAATCAACTCTCACGATTATTTTACCCTATAAATGAGCGTGTCGGTTTGTCGATTGGTGTTATATCTGGACACCAAAGCAAGCACAAACGGAAACATTTAGTTTTTACAAGTAATTAGCGCAGACCATTAACAATATCTTAGTTTCACTAACGAAGCCTACGAGCATTCAGGTCTATCTCGTCAAGATTACGGATAAAAATGAAATTAAGAAAGTGCAAGTATGCAACGCGAAGAATCTGAAAAAAATTGACTGCAGAGATACAAAAACTCAGCCTAGCTATGAATTACAAATCATTACAGAAAATAAGGTTAGTCTTCGTAACGTGACTTTTTCATTCTGGAAATAACCGTGACGTTTCTTTTGACATGGTATTTTATCCTGGTCATCAGTAGAAACTCACTATGTACACAGTGGGCCTGTGCTAATTTCTTCAGCTTGTTCTCTCGTAAAGATCCAGCTTCTACAGTTTCCAACACCATCTGAAAACAACAGTGTAGAGTACCTAAACAATCTCAGTAATTCATTGATTTAGAGGTATAAAGAAATAGAAGCCTGAGATGATACCTTAGGATACATCACTCTTGACTAGTTCCCATTGATATAGTGTCCAACATACCCTCACCTGTCTTCGGTCACAGAAGGAGTTTCTTAAGCACACTTTTGTGGCACCTGTAATCCCAAAGCTAAAGAGTTTTTATTTAAGCCTTAATAACGTCTGATGCCTTACTAAAATCGACGAGTATCACACCGACAGAGAACCCCTTATCTTGGGCTGCTGTCCGATCCTCTCTCGCAATTAGTAAGCTAGGTAAGCATGACTGCTTAATTCAAGACCCGTGTTCCTCGGGAGTTAACAGACTATATGTTTCTACGTGACTTAGTAAGCAACAGCCCAAATCATTTTTCAAGTGACTTAACTACTATCGTAGTTAGACTCAAATTTTGGTAGGCACGATTTTTTTCTATACCTAAATATAGTTATAACTGTGAAGTTCTTTCAATCCCTGTTGAGTTGAGTTTGGGAAACGGACATGTTGAACAACATCGTGGGTTGTGTTGAAATAGCGTATCCGAGGGATGATAGCAACCGTGGATGCAACCTATCAGAAATCAGTGACCAGATCTGAGATTTTTGAGCGATTAGGATAGCTTCTTCAGTAACATGTACTGGTCTTATGGTTGATATCCGTGGTGCGGTTGAGATACCAATGGAGTTGAACTCGGATGAACATCTCTACTTTAACCAGATCTGTTTTCGTATTTTTCGCGTGACATTGCTCAAGTTCGGCTGTCGCATGCTAACTATCTTTCTAAGGTGGTGCAGCATCCAGCTATGATCTTCTTACACATATCCCGGTATTCACACCTGTGGAAACAACAGCGACATATATTAGTGATTTAAACCAAAGGGTCACAAAAAGCCGATAGATTTCTACTTAGTCCATTGCACTGATGGATTCTCGTAAACTTTTCCCATCATACTCTGAATACGATGAAGAGCGAAAGCAAATCAGATCTAGGTTAACCGAAAGTCTAAGAAACGACCGTGAGCAGTGGTGGGCGACAAAAGCAAAAGAGATGGAAAAGATAGCGGCTGTAGGTAACACGAAGCAGCTCTTCGGACTAATAAAAGAAACCGGAATTAAGAAGTGTAAGTGAGGCGATCTCGGAATAGGACGACACTTATCTGCTCAGCGCATATATATCTGGTGCCCCCTTGTACCAATATATGTATTCAGATGAATAAACATCAGCCCAGACGTTTAGAACTATAGGCGAAACTTTAAGTAGCAGTCCAGCTGGCCCTCAGCTACTTTACAACTACCCATCATTCTCAGACAGTGTGAATGGAACATTGAAGTAGGTCCTCCGACTCTATCTGAAGTTCAAAAAGCTATAGCTAATCTGAAACGATGAAGGGAAGATGGATTGGCTCCAGAGTTCTTTAAGTGTGGTGGTCTAGTTTTGGCAATTAGGCTGATTAAAATCTGGGAGTTGGACGTAATCCCATCTGACTGGTCACAATCACTTATTGTCCCAATACATAAGAAGGGGTCAAAATCATCCTGTGGAAACCATAGAGGGATTAGTTTGAATTATATAGCATCTAAAATACTGGCCTCAATAATTATCGGACTCCTAACCAAGACTCTTGAACTGCAAACACGAGAAAATCACGCTGGCTTTAGACCATTCGTCAGGTTTTCGAACACAGGCCTGCTTATCGGCATCCGACAATGATAGTTTTTCCTGACCTACAAACAGTATTTGACTCGACCGAGAGGTTCTGTGGTAGTGTCTGTCATTGTGATGTGTACCTCAAAAGTACATAAACCTTATGAGGGCTCTCTCCTTGAACATTATCAGTCGAGTCAGAGCTTATGGCGAACTGTCATCTGATTTTTTAACCTCAAGTGTTGTCCGACAAGGCTGTCCACTATCTCTATCTTTGTTCAACCTCATCACAAACTCACTACTGGTAATAACGTTCTCATCGACTGAATTTTCAGCCATTTATCTCCTCCCAGGAGTTCCACTTATCGACTCAGAGTGCCCAGATGACATAGTCCTGTTTGGTGAAGGCGCTGGTAAAATGCCGAGTCTTTTGGCAACACTGAGCAACAATGCCAGGATGTTTGTGATGCGTCTCTCTCCCTTCATATTTGCAACCAACCCGGGTTTTATGCGTAATTTTAGCAATGAAATGGTACTCCTTGTGAGATTACACTATCAGTAAGACCCTTATACATGTTCAAGTTTCATTTACGTATGATTTTTTCTTTCATCAGTACACGGAATTATTCAAGCACTATTGAATGCCATATTGTGTATTGGTTTTTGTGCGTTTGACCATATCAGTAATTTTATATTGGTATCAGTAACATTTTTTTATTTTACATACTGCAAATTATGCACTGGATTTTGTCATACAACTAGAATAATCTATTCAGTCTAGTTGAAATACCTGCTATCTAGAAGCTGAGTCATGTCTGGGTTATTAATACGTTTGTGCATTAAGTTATATTTTCAAGTAACAATTTTTACCTTCGTATTATTTTGTGGACATAAATTATCATGTTCATTTGTTCTACACTCCATTCATTTTCCCTTATTTTCCCTATATTTCCATTGATTCAGATATGGGTATTTAATGCTTTGAAATTAGAAGAAAAAAGACATTTTGTCAGTTCATTTTGTCGTACGCTTGCAACACTTCTACCACATGTGATCAAAGATATAGAATTAGTCAATTTCCCACGAGATATAAATATTTCTCCACTTAGCCAACATGAAACATTGGATGCTTTGCTTAGTAAGCAGAATGAGTTAACGTTTATGATTTCTTTTCGTTAATTTGTCTCATAATTTTAGAATGGGTTGTATATTTTATTATGCACTTGAATTATATCAATGTTTGGGGTACAAGTTCTGCAATCGTTTTTTTTTATACCTTGGTTAGGGGAGATCTGTGATATCACACTAGCCGTCACATACAAAAATGTCTGAAGGCTGAGTACGTGAATCTGTAGTTGTTAATGTGTTACACTGAAAAAGCGCATGTATTGTCTAAAAGTGGATAAAATATTAGGTTAATGACATCACTGACTTCTCTGGTCCAGTAGTTTTTCGGTTGTTATATGGTATTCTATTAAAGTCATATTTTTTGTCACCGGACTTAAGAATTCAATTAATGTTATAATTCACTTTTTATCTATCTATCTATTGATATTATCACTTTTAACACCTTATGAACTGATTGAAATAACTAAGTTTTACCGTTGTGAATAAGAGAACAACTGTTTGATAAGATTATCAAAGTTTATTGCCTGATTTGGGTTGAGGATTTTGTATGGAATGCTCAGTCTATCGATTGGTTACTTCGACATTCTAAAATTGTCATGTCAGGTTAGACAAAGTGAGTGCAACTGTGTTATTAAAACAGATATGAAAATGTAACATTTCACTTTCATAAGTTAAGGTTACCTCAAATATATCAATTACGATTGAACCTTATAGGTTATCAAAGTTCTCTTAAACGTTTCACTCGATGAATCTTTGTATTATCGTAAACCAATTTGTTACCTATACCGGCCGTTCTACTCAACGTCAACGTCGTGCACCCTTCGACTTCACAATTTGTTGACAAACCACCTGTCAGAACACTAGAAAATCTACCAGGTTTTTGGTCTGGTTTGTTTTATTTAGACTCAGATTGACAATTCTAAAGGTAAAATTCAAGACCACGAAATACTATTGATAATAATTCTCATTATGTACATCACCAAGGGATTTATGATGTAAAGCCAAATGATAAGTTTTCAATTAATCGATTGTAATTTAGGACAGCAAAAGATATCACAGCAGTTAATGAGTCAAATGAAAGCTTTCAATTTAGCTAGTGTCAAAATATTATGAATCGTATTTTTAATAGCTACACATAGAAAGTGTTCTAACAGATTTTCCGAACAACGGCTCTCCTTAGTTTTTTTCATTTTCAGTCCTTTCCTCATTTCTAACAACCGCCTATCTGTGCTTGTTAGAAATACATATATTATAATGAGGTGCAGTGGACAACACTTTTTCACGACTAATTCAGCTCGTAGTTAGATGGAATTATTTTGATGAG